GCTTACTGTTGCATCTTGCATGAGACAAAAGCAATCATTGAAGAAAGGGGACTCAAAGGCAAAGCATGAGAGAGAGGCGGCTGTGGTGATTAAGAAAACAACAATGATTGTGAACATTAATTTGAGTGCTCTAATGAAATATTAATGATATGATTAAAAAATAAAAAAATATTAAAATATCACGTCACAATAAATAGAGTCTATTATCAACTTATTAGAATTGATTTTAGAACTCAAAAATTAGAACTCTAAAGTATTTTTCTTAAAAAAAAAAGAAAGGATGGACAACCGTGATAGTTAGGGTTTTTTTAAATTCAAAAAGTCCAAAAAAGAAGAGTGGGCGGGAGTTGAAAAATACAGTATTTTTTTAATTTTAAAAATTAGAATAAGACTCTTAAGAATATATGAAAAAATAAAACAAAATTGAATAGCAAATCAAAAAAAATAAATCAAAAAAATTTAAAAGTTAAACGCTTCGTATTAGAATTCATACAACCATTAAACAAAATGAATGGAAAATTAAAACAAATAAATCAAAAAAATTTAAAAGTTGAACACTTAATTACATATATTCATTCACTGTTCTCATATTATAATTCATACAACCCCTAAAGAAATTAATAAAATTAAAAACAAACAAATAGAAAAAAGTTTAAAAGTCGAATGCTTAGTTACATACCTCCATTCATTGCTCTCATATTGGAATTCATACAATCCATATGAAAAAAAAAAAAAAAAAAAAAAAATTGAATAGAAAATCTAATCAAATAAAGAAAAAAAGTATAAAAGCTGAATGCTTAATTACATGCATCCATTCACTGCTCACAAATTGATTTTTCAACCAGTTCACACATTGCCATTGTTGAAAATAGTAAAATAAAGTTTATAATGGGGTGAGAGATTGAGTAGGCGTCAAATTATACCAAGAGAAAAGCTAAAATAGAAGAAGATGATAAATTCTTGAGGAAATATCTTTTGCACCCCAAACTTTTACGAGTTTTTTAATTTGACCCTCATACTTCGATTAATATTAATTTTACATCCAAACTTTCAAAATTTTGATCAATTTGGTTCCTGTCGTTACATTCCGTCTACAATTAGACAGAATGTCTTACGTGGCACTAAAATTCATTTGGAATTTCATTTTACCTCCCAAACTATACCTTAAAAATCAATTTGTCCCCCAAATATAAAAAAAATTAAATTTTAAATAATATATACTTTGCAAAAAAATAATCAAAAATATAAAAATCCTCATTTAGAATTATCTTGAAATTATGAAGTATGGTTATTTTGACAAATATGTCGTACCTGTACCGGCTACTTGCCGAATTTTGAAATTTTTTTCTCACTTAATTTTGAAATTACTATTAGTCGATCAATTCTATTGAAATTAATTTGGGTAATAAATTAGTTACAATTGTGCGAACACATAGAGTAGCCAATAAATTTTTGGCTCAATAAGTTTCTCCAAGATCGACTCTAGATAATTTGAGACCTATGAAGCATAGGTACAGGTATAAAAACTGATATTGGTATGATATGGGTATGTCGTCACGATAAAATCTAAAAAAAAAAAAGAAGAAGTAGGGTACGGGTGCGAGTACAAGTTAATACGTTTGTAAAAAAATATTTATTTTTAATTTGAAATAATACAAAAATTGATTAAATTGTTTAATTTGTTAAATCCAACAAACAATTTACGTTTATCCAAAAGTACAAGTATAAGATAAGCCACAATTAAATGTCATTATATTAAATAATTTACAAACTATATCTTAATTCTGAAATCATGCTAAGTAAAAAACTAAAAATGAAAAAGAAGTCTAGTAAAATGGATTTTATCTTTGTAGTAGACGAAAATATTGTTTCGACTGAGATACGACACCGTTTAAGTATATACTAAATATGTCTGGGTACGCCAAAAATTAAGAAGAAAATATTTGAGTATTTTGTGTACCCGATATGTATGCATAAATACACGGTACGGGTACATGTTTGTCGAATTATTCATACTTCACAGTCTCAAGATAATTCTAAATAAGGATTTTTATAGTTTTTATTGTTTTTTTTGCAAAGTATATATTATTTAAAATTTAATTTTTTTCATTATTGAGATAAGAAATTATTCATTAAATATTTAAATTTAATTTTTTTATATTTGAGGGGCAAATTGATTTTTAAGGTATAGTTTGTGGGGTAAAATGAAATTCCAAATGAATTTTGGTACCATGTCAGCACATTATGTCCATGATCAAAATTTTGAATGTGTAGGTGTAAAATTGATATTAATCGAAATCTGAAGGTCAAATTAAAAAACGCGTAAAAGTTTAAGAAGCAAAATGATATTTCCTCTAAATTCTTTAATAATCACCTTTCACAGTTTTGCTCTCCATAGTGTTTTTTCCCTCTGTTCTTGTTGTGTAGGTATGAAGTGGAAAATAGTAAATAGCTTATGGAGGAATTATAATGTTCTAGAAATAGCTTGTGGAGGAATTGTAATGTTTATAAGGGTTAAGATGGCTGTGTTGAATTTATAATGTCGTAAGATTTTGAAATTGAACAAAATATGAAATGGAAGGAAGGTTAGGTACAAAGAGCATGGGGTAGAAAGTTTATATTTCCTTTTTAAATTTCACAAATCATGGTATAACATTTAATTTTAAGTAATTAATATGATGAGTTAGTCAATAGTGTTTTCCTTATAAATAATTTCCTTTTCTTATTTGATTTTAGGGAAGGAAGAATTTAGGTATTATTTAATATGATATTTTAGGGAAGGAAGAATTTAGGTAATAATTTTAGGAGATGGGCCTATAAATTTGTAATTCATTATTTAAAATTAGAAAATGAGCTAAATCATATATGTACTTGAGTGTGTGATTTATTAATTTAATTTTTAGCTGAAAAAGAGGTTATATATATAGTATTGTTTTTGTATTATGAAAAGTAATTCCTTTAATCACGTGTATTTTGTTGCGTTGCAAATTTTGAAATTTGAATCCTTGAATCATAGATGAATATTCATTGAGTGCTTTGTTGACTATGATTTGAATTTTAAATTTTAAATTTCAATTTTTAGTAACCAATTAACGTTTTTCTCTTTTTAAAAAATAACCAAAAAACAACATAATTGATTTGGAGTTTTGAAACTCCTAGAGCTCTCATAATTAGTTTGGCGACAATTCCCTAATTTAAATGAAGACCAAGCATTTTGAAGACTCCTAATTTAGAAAAAAATCAAATCAAATCAAAGATACTAAAATATTAATATGATTTTGTATTATAAATTCTCTACTATTTGAAAATATTCAGGAATATAAATTTAAAAGGTGTGCGGTGTTGGATTTTTGCACTAGATAAATGAATTGGGGCTCTGTGATTGAGTTAGACTATGCAGGAATTGAGGGCCTGGAAAATAAGAGAACCACAAGAGCAACTTGGCTGGGGTTGGCTAGAAAAACCCTCCGGCGTGGAAGTTAGGAGTCGGAGAAGAAGTCTCTACATGTAGAGAGAGAAAGAGAGTGTATGTATGTGAGAGGACTCAAGATAACTTACTTTGCAATGAGATGGAAGTGTTGTTTATATGGATGACTTGATTTGCTTTCCAAGGTGAGGGTGAGGGAGCTTGGGTGCCTCAAGGCCCTCTCTATCATAGCTCAAGGTGGGGAACTACAAGTTGGTTATCCATGGATGCACATGCCCACCTGAGCAGTCATCATCAAGTGCACATTCTTTCTCCTAACAATTTCCGTGGAGGGAGGACCAACTGAGGTGGCACTTTTCACATGTGTGCGCTCACAGCTTCAATGCCTACCTATGGAGGCCTCAGCTTGGTCTGTTTAGTTCTTCAGCCAAACCTTGTTCAGCCTTCCACAAAGTTGTTTGTGCAGATGGGCTAGACCATATGGACGTCAGTTCTGTTGATGGACTTGGACCATGTAGTTCGGCCCATCTCAGTGCCTTGTTTGAGTTGGCCTTGTTGTAATAGGTTTGGCCCAAGTGCTTTTGAGGGCACATGAATTTATCACTAATTTTCTCTAAATTAGGGTGTTTAAAATAGAAACTTACATATATATTAGAGAGGAGGAAAAGAATATGACACAAAAGTATTTAGATAATTTTGCCAATGTTTATTAATAGAGTTGACTTTGAACCTTATTCCAAAATCATAAGAAGATTGTCTAGCTATATTTGAACTATAAAGGGATAAAATGATCTAAGGCGAAACCACAAGGAATAAAATGAATTTTACCCTTAGAATAATTGTGTAATGAAATAAAATTGTTATGCAAATAGAATTACCCTTCTAATAACTTGCTAAATGATTTTTCTCATTTATCAAACTGTCACTAAACAGTGTTCTCATTTATCAAACCACTCATTTATCATCAAATCATCCACAAATTTAAATATAAAATTACAAATGCATCACGTTTGTACCTAACACATGTAAAATTTAAAATAACTATGACAATTATCTAAAGCAACTTACATCTGAGAGAATTGAAGCAGTATAGATCTCTTGGAAGTCATCATGTTGTGGGATATTTTGAAAAAAATCATAAAACGTGACAAAACTACACCAACTCAAGTGTATGCATTATACAATACTATAGATAATATATAGCTACATAGTTTTAAAACATGTTTTCCTGTTTGTAAGTTTTAAAGGCAGCTTAAACTTGAGGTGAAAATTTCAATGATTGGGTTGCCAAAATCTACTAAACTTGATCATGATACTAACATGAATAGGACAGTTGACTCAGTAGTCCATGTAACTGTCCATTGGGACACTGAGAAAGTCAGAGGTTGAAGGTCCGAATCAATAGAGCGACCAAAATTGATCATGATACTAACATGAATAGGACAGTTGGCTCAGTAGTCAATGTAATTGTCCATTGGGACAGTAAGAAAGTTAGAGGTTCAAAGTCCAAATTGATTGAGCGACCATAGCTCATTCGTTGTAATCTACCTTATTACTATCATACAAATAAAACAAAATAAAGTAAAAAAAAGTTCGTGATACCAATACAAGACTTTGATACAACTGGCATACAGAAGCCAATGCAATGCTCTTTGTAAATGCAAACGTGAATCTGAATACCTCCCCATCATATTCAACTCAGCTTGTGTCCTACCCTTTTCAAACATTCACAAGTCTCTGTGGAGGAAACCAAGAAGCTACCTGAATAGTTTAGAAGATATAATTTACATGTGTATTTAGATTTCCTTAAACATTCAAAGTCGCAGGCTTGAAATCAAGCATTTCCCTTATATTTAACCGAATGGAAGGCCCCATTGATGAGCATATATGTGCACTTTTCCAGTATACTCCTTTTGCACCAGATGGCTTGTTTGTTTCTACTGATTTCTGTCATATTAATTAAAGAAAAAAAAGGGAAATACAGTTCAGAAATTGACTACATATAATTCAGACAGCGCCAACACATGAGAGAGAGAGAGAGCATACTACTGCAGCAAGCAAGTTCACGAGAAGATCTTCCTCAGAAAAATCTGACTTTCCAAAGGGTAAGTGAACGATCCCAGTTTTATCTGCTCTGTATTCAACTTTGCCCTTCTTGAATTCCTCTATGGCCTGAAACAAACGCAACCTGAATTCATTTCATTTCAGCAAATTTTAAGGGTGCAGGCCATCAGAGAACTCATATATTGTTGATAGCACAGCGTGATGATGACCATTATTTATTTATTTTTTACAATGATAAATAAATCGTATTAGTTGGCCTTTAAGGGGCACAAATCTTGCATTCACTGTGTAAAATATGTGTACAATCATTTACACGAAGGCAAAGTGTCTCCAGTATCAACAACAAAGAAAACACACAGACCAGAACAAAAAATAAAACTGATAGTGTTAAACAGGGTTCTCCCTTTTACTCACCCAACCAAACAAGACCTCCAAACTAGGTATAGCAAGAACTGAGAGTCTTCTCTTGTCTTCTAGAAGGAATGCCCTTCCTTTGAATTACACACCTATGCCATGCCGAGTAATGCCAATAGCAACGACTGAACTTCCATTGCAGCCCTAAAAAAGGGCAAGGTGGTCCACTGACAAGTCCAATTTGGAGTCATGTTTGCTCTCCTAAGGCTGTCAACTACGAAAACTCCAATGGGTAACTAACCACTCACAAAAAACCCACCTTTGTAGAGAAGCTTGGCAGTGGCTAAAATAATTTCAATGATACAAAGATCATAATAATTTTTAGTCATTTCTACATTTTTTTTTCCTTCTCTCACAAATCACTTTTTCTCGTAGTCTCATTTGTAATTGTAGGTGAAACACAACTTACAGAAGCTATACCATTAATGAATGAAAATTTAACACAAAATATCTCACCTCAGAAGTCTGGCATCAGGAAACATATCCACTAGAACGTAAATGTAGACATACATGCATACATACCAAATTTGTATATATGAAACAAAAAGATTGTACCTGAGGTAAATTAGTTGTAACAGTACCAGCTTTTGGATTTGGCATGAGTCCACAAGGACCCAAAATCTTTCCTAGTTGGGCAACCTGATGGGACAGGAAAATGTAAATAAAGTCAGGCATATGAAATATGATCTCTAGACAATACAAACACATTAATTCATGCATATATATTTTTACAGGGGATTTGGTCAAAACCCCATCATAATTAAATTTTAATGCATTATGGACCAGCACAAAAAGTTTTTCTTGAAAAGTCCAACAAATATCACTATTATCAAAATATTAAACTTTAAAATAATATAACTTTTGATGTAGATGTCAGTTTTTAATAAAATTAATATTTTTAGAATTCTCTCATCAAGATCTATCAAATAAGATCGATGTTGACTATGAAATTCTTTAAAAAAAAATTTATTACTGTTGAAATTGATGTAAATAGTAACAGTAACATGTTACTCTGTCTCACAGTAACATGATACTCTATTTGATAGTAACATATTACTTTATTTGACAGTAATATGTTACTCTGGTTCACAGTAACATGTTGCTTTGGCAATATTGTCCAAAAAAAAAAGAAATTTTATTTTGTCCTTACTCAATTATGTATTTTCTCCTTAAGAAGTTTATGAAGAAAAATAAATCGGGCTGTCCCTTTCACCAAACAAGGGTCCAATGGAGGAGTTTTGACTAAATTTCCCTATTTTTACCTACAGGAAAGGACCAAATTAATTAAGAATAAATCCTACTATTCTAAGTAAAGCCAAATCCACCATTCCTCTTTTGATCCAACTGCTTTGCAATTCTTTCTTTCAGTAATTACAACTTTCTCTGTCGCTCTACCTCTAATTTCAAATTCCTTTAAGTTGGGACATGTTGACTGTTTAAGTCCTTTTCATTGAGGCATAAGAATCTTCATCACATCCACATAGTTTCTGTTTGGCTTGAATTTTAATCTGAAAAGGTTCATGACACACCTCAATTACATTTTTGCCCTTTGAAACAAAAAATCAGCTAACAAATAGTGATTCTGCCTAAGTTTTTAAGATGGAAATTGCTAGAGGCCCCAAAATTTCTACCAAATATTTTACTAAATGTTTCACATGCGTGTGGACCTCACACTCATGGGGGACCGATATCCATGTGAGATATTTGATAGAAATTTTAGTATCCCTAGCATTACTATTTTAAGATTGCCTAAACCTTTTCATGACAATGATCTCAAATCATATCCTAAATTTGGTATTGAAAGCACAGCTGCAGAAAGAGAGGGGAAAAAAGGTAGAAAATAGAATAAGTACAAAACTTTGATCATAGGTAGGTAATGCACAAATCTCGCAATCTATATGAATACTTTTGCTGGACATGTTATAACCAAGTTGATGATGATTTTTCATCTAATAAGAAATCTCCAAACTTAAATTCGAATTTTTCTGCTCAGAATTTATCCTAAACACTTTGTCTAAACAGGAGAACGGAGATTCTATTGACATCCACATAAAAATAAATAAACCAGACGCAGTCTATATTGATCAAACAAAACAGACCTTGGGCATCATATCTGGAGTAGCAATTAATTTATCAAATTCCATGAATCCTCCTTTTATCTGGCCTATCAACTCCTCTCCACCAACCAGATCAGCTCCGGCATTTTTAGCTTCATCGAACTTCTCACCTGAAGATATTCAGCTATGGATATTGAGCCAAGTAATACAACAGACTTTAAGAAGGAATGAAAAATAAAAAATGAGTGTAACATTATCTCATTCTCAAATTCACGAGGCTATGATAATCTGCTTGTATGTAGCACCCTTAGAGAAGCTACAGGCTATGTGGCTGCATTTTGACACGTGTGGGAAACATGGCATAACACAATGGTAAACATTTAATCAATGTTGGAGCATAGCAAGGACACAAGTGCAAAATATTTGTAACAGATAAAAGGGGCTCAATTACAAATAGAAAAGGAATATAATTACCACTTAAAAAGTAACAGAATGATCAGCTTAAAATCAAACTGGTTCATAATTTCTGTTTTATGAACACATAAACAGAATAGTTAAGACTATTAAAAAGCAAAGATTAACAAAATAGAAACAAAAATGTGGAGGCATCCCATGTGCAAATGAGGTATATAAAAGCACCAAAAAATAAATCTACAAGAATCCAAAAGATATAAAACCAATATAATTTACAAATAGACACATTTGCCCAAAAATTCAAGACAAGAATCCAACAAAGGTGGAAAGAACTCTTTAGACCAAAAGATAATAAAACTGCCCAAATTACTCTCATGAATCAATGCTTCATCACCCTTAAAATTCTCGTCTCTCACTCCACAAGCACCCCATAAGACATGAAGGAGCTAACTACCACAACCTCATATTCCGTCTTCGGCAACCCCTCTGCCAGCACCCAATCAACTCTATAGCAGATTCTTGGCATCATCACTGCCACCAACATGCCAATGTAAGATTAAATGATGAACATTTTTTCCGCATCCTTTTTACACCTACAACACTTTTTCAATGAACCCAGTGTAAATCTAACATAATCAAGATAATTACACCATTCACAGAAACCCTTCAGGAGCTTAATACCCATAGTATGTATATTTGTCATGGTCCTTTTGTCCTTGATAACTAGTTTTGTAATGCCATAACAAAACTGTGACCTAGTAATTGAAGTAGTGAGAAGAGAGTCTAGAGACACAACTCCCTTAAGTGGACTTGGACCATGTAGTTCGGCCCATCTCAGTGCCTTGTTTGAGTTGGCCTTGTTGTAATAGGTTTGGCCCAAGTGCTTTTGAGGGCACATGAATTTATCACTAATTTTCTCTAAAGTAGGGTGTTTAAAATAGAAACTTACATATATATTAGAGAGGAGGAAAAGAATATGACACAAAAGTATTTAGATAATTTTGCCAATGTTTATTAATAGAGTTGACTTTGAACCTTATTCCAAAATCATAAGAAGGTTGTCTAGCTATATTTGAACTATAAAGGGATAAAATGATCTAAGGCGAAACCATAAGGAATAAAATGAATTTTACCCTTAGAATAATTGTGTAATGAAATAAAATTGTTATGCAAATAGAATTACCATTCTAATAACTTGCTAAATGATTTTTCTCATTTATCAAACTGTCACTAAACAGTGTTCTCATTTATCAAACCACTCATTTATCATCAAATCATCCACAAATTTAAATATAAAATTACAAATGCATCACGTTTGTACCTAACACATGTAAAATTTAAAATAACTATGACAATTATCTAAAGCAACTTACATCTGAGAGAATTGAAGCAGTATAGATCTCTTGGAAGTCATCATGTTGTGGGATATTTTGAAAAAAATCATAAAACGTGACAAAACTACACCAACTCAAGTGTATGCATTATACAATACTATAGATAATATATAGCTACATAGTTTTAAAACATGTTTTCCTGTTTGTAAGTTTTAAAGGCAGCTTAAACTTGAGGTGAAAATTTCAATGATTGGGTTGCCAAAATCTACTAAAATTGATCATGATACTAACATGAATAGGACAGTTGGTTCAGTAGTCCATGTAACTGTCCATTGGGACACTGAGAAAGTCAGAGGTTGAAGGTCCGAATCAATAGAGCGACCAAAATTGATCATGATACTAACATGAATAGGACAGTTGGCTCAGTAGTCAATGTAATTGTCCGTTGGGACAGTAAGAAGGTTAGAGGTTCAAGGTCCGAATCGATTGAGCGACCATAGCTCATTCGTTGTAATCTACCTTATTACTAGCGTACAAATAAAACAAAATAAAGTAAAAAAAAGTTCGTGATACCAATACAAGACTTTGATACAACTGGCATACAAAAGCCAATGCAATGCTCTTTGTAAATGCAAACATGAATCTGAATACCTCCCTATCATATTTAACTCAGCTTGTGTCCTACCCTTTTCAAACATTCACAAGTCTCTGTGGAGGAAACCAAGAAGCTACCTGAATAGTTTAGAAGATATAATTTACATGTGTATTTAGATTTCCTTAAACATTCAAAGTCGCTGGCTTGAAATCAAGCATTTCCCTTATATTTAACCGAATGGAAGGCCCCATTGATGAGCATATATGTGCACTTTTCCAGTATACTCCTTTTGCACCAGATGGCTTGTTTGTTTCTACTGATTTCTGTCATATTAATTAAAGAAATAAAAAGGAAATAGAGTTCAGAAATTGAGTACATATAATTCAGACAGCGCAAAACATGAGAGAGAGAGAGAGAGAGAGAGAGAGAGAGCATACTACTGCAGCAAGCAAGTTCACAAGAAGATCTTCCTCGGAAAAATCTGACTTTCCAAAGGGTAAGTGAACGATCCCAGTTTTATCTGCTCTGTATTCAACTTTGCCCTTCTTGAATTCCTCTATGGCCTGAAACAAATGCAACCTGAATTCATTTCATTTCAGTAAATTTAAGGGTGCAGGCCATCAGAGAACTCATATATTGTTGATAGCACAGCGTGATGATGACCTTTATTTATTTATTTTTTGTAATGATAAGTAAATTGTATTTAGTTGGCCTCTAAGGGACACAAATCTTGCATTCACTGTCTAAAATATGTGTACTATCATTTACACGAAGGCAAAGTGTCTCCAGTATCAACAAGAAGAAGAAAACACACAGACCAGAACAAAAAATAAAACTGATAAAGTGTTAAAGGGTTCTCCCTTTTACTCACCCAACCAAACAAGACCTCCAAACAAGGTATAGCAAGAACTGAGAGTCTTCTCTTGCCTTCTACAAGGAATCTTCCTTCGAATTACACACCTATGCCATGCCAAGTAATGCCAATAGCAAGAACTGAACTTCCATTGCAGCCCCAAAAAAGGGCAAGGTGGCTAAAATAACCCACCTTTGTAGAGCAGCTTGGCAGTGGTTAAAATAATTTCAATGATACAAAGATCACGATAATATTTAGTCATTTCTACATTTTTTTTTCTTCTCTCACAAATCGCTTTTCCTCGTAGTCTCATTTGTAATTGTAGGTGAAACACAACTTACAGAAGCTATACCATTAATGAATGAAAATTTAACACAAAATATCTCACCTCAGAAGTCTGGCATCAGGAAACATATCCACTAGAACGTAAATGCAGACATACATGCATACATACCAAATTTGTATATATGAAACAAAAAGATTGTACCTGAGGTAAATTAGTTGTAACAGTACCAGCTTTTGGATTTGGCATGAGTCCACAAGGACCCAAAATCTTTCCTAGTTGGGCAACCTGATGGGACAGGAAAATGTAAATAAAGTCAGGCATATGAAATATGATCTCTAGACAATACAAACACATTAATTCATGCATATATATTTTTACAGGAGATTTGGTCAAAACCCCATCATAATAAAATTTTAATGCATTAAGGACCAGCACAAAAAGTTTTTCTTGAAAAGTCCAACAAATATCACTATTATCAAAATATTAAACTTTAAAATAATATAACTTTTGATGTAGATGTCAGTTTTTAATAAAATTAATATTTTTAGAATTCTCTCATCAAGATCTATCAAATAAGATCGATGTTGACTATGAAATTCTTTAAAAAAAAAATTATTACTGTTGAAATTGATGTAAACAGTAACAGTAACAGTAACATGTTACTCTGTCTCACAGTAACATGCTACTCTATTTGATAGTAACATATTACTTTATTTGACAATAATATGTTACTCTGGTTCACAGTAACATGTTGCTTTGGCAATATTGTCAAAAAAAAAAGAAATTTTACTTTGTCCTTACTCAATTATGTATTTTCTCCTTAAGAGGTTTATGAAGAAAAATAAATTGGGCTGTCCCTTTCACCAAACAAGGGTCCAATGAAAGAGTTTTGACTAAATTTCCCTATTTTTACCTAGAGGAAAGGACCAAATTAATTAAGAATAAATCCTACTATTCTAAGTAAAGCCAAATCCAACATTCCTCTTTTGATCCAACTGCTTTGCAATTCTTTCCTTCAGTAATTACAACTTTCTCTGTCGCTCTACCTCTAATTTCAATTTCCTTTAAGTTGGGACATGTTGACTGTTTAAGTCCATTTCATTGAGGCATAAGAATCTTCATCACATCCACATAGTTTCTGTTTGGCTTGAATTTTAATCTGAAAAGGTTTATGACACACCTCAATTACATTTTTGCCCTTTGAAACAAAAAATCAGCTAACAAATAGTGATTCTGCCCAAGTTTTTAAGATGGAAATTGCTAGAGGCCCCAAAATTTCTACCAAATATTTTACTAAATGTTTCACATGCGTGTGGACCCCACACTCATGGGGACCGATATCCATGTGAGATATTTGGTAGAAATTTTAGTATCCCTAGCATTACTATTTTAAGATTGCCTAAACCTTTTCATGACAATGATCTCAAATCATATCCTAAATTTGGTATCTGAAAGCACAGCTGCAGAAAGAGAGGGAAAAAAAGGTAGAAAATAGAATAAGTACAAAACTTTGATCATAGGTAGGTAATGCACAAATCTCGCAATCTATATGAATACTTTTGCTGGACATGTTATAACCAAGTTGATGATGATTTTTCATCTAATGAGAAATCTCCAAACTTAAATTCGAATTTTTCTGCTCAGAATTTATCCTAAACACTTTGTCTAAACAGGAGAACGGAGATTCTATTGACATCCACATAAAAATAAATAAACCAGACGCAGTCTATATTGATCAAACAAAACAGACCTTGGGCATCATATCTGGAGTAGCAATTAATTTATCAAATTCCATGAATCCTCCTTTTATCTGACCTATCAACTCGTCCCCACCAACCAGATCAGCTCCGGCATTTTTAGCTTCATCGAACTTCTCACCTGAAGAAATTCAGCTATGGACATTGAGCCAAGTAATACTACAGACTTTAAGAAGGTATGAAAAATAAAAAATGAGTGTAACATTATCTCATTCTCAAATTCATGAGGCTATGATAATTTGCTTGTATGTAGCACCCTTAGAGAAGCTACAGGCTATGTGGCCGCATTTTGATATGTGTGGGAAACATGGCATAACACAATGGTAAACATTTAATCAACGTTGGAGCATAGCAAGGACACAAGTGCAAAATATTTGTAACAGATAAAAGGGGCTCAATTACAAATAGAAAAGGAATATGATTACCACCTAAAAAGTAACAGAATGATCAGCTTAAAATCAAACTGGTTCATAATTTCTGTTTTACGAACACATAAACAGAATAGTTAAGACTATTAAAAAGCAAAGATTAACAAAATAGAAACAAAAATGTGGAGGCATCCCATGTGCAAATGAGGTATATAAAAGCACCAAAAAATAAATCTACAAGAATCCAAAAGATATAAAACCAATATAATTTACAAATAGACACATTTGCCCAAAAATTCAAGACAAGAATCCAACAAAGGTGGAAAGAACTCTTTAGACCAAAAGATAATAAAACTGCCCAAATTACTCTCATGAATCAATGCCTTATCACCCTTAAAATTCTCGTCTCTCACTCCACAAGCACCCCATAAGACATGAAGGAGCTAAGTACCACAACCTCATATTCCGTCTTCGGCAACCCCTCTGCCAGCACCCAATCAACTCTATAGCAGATTCTTGGCATCATCACTGCCACCAACATGCCAATGTAAGATTAAATGGTCAATGTTTTTTCCTCATCGTTTTTACACCTACAACACTTTTTCAATGAACCTAGTGTAAATCTAACGTAATCAAGATAATTACACCATTCACAAAAACCCTTCAGGAGCTTAATACCAATAGTATGTATGTTTGTCATGGTCCTTTTGTCCTTGATAACTAGTTTTGTAATGCCATAACAAAACTGACCTAGTAATTGAAGTAGTGAGAGAGAGTCTAGAGACACAACTCTTAAGTATCCAATGAAGGCTAAATAAATAATGTTTTTAAGTAGCATAGCTGCATAGGTACTGCAATAGATGAGCTCTATCCCTATCCAACATGTCAATACTGATACTTTCAAGAGAATAACCTTTCTCAAACTGCAGGTAGCGGGTTGGGCTGGGTTGGTGGATTGGCGGGTAAATTGCACATCCCTAATCCCAGGTTTATTCTTGTGTCCTTCATTTTTCTTCTTCCTACATCACTACTCACGTTGTATTGAGAATGAATTCAAGTATTAGTAACTTATTAAGATTTAGCATGTCTTCCTTTAAACGATGAAGGATTGGGACTTAGGAAACAGAGGTTTTTGAACAAAGCTTTTTAGAAAAATGGCTAGGGAGATGTTGAGGAAGATAAGGGTGGTGTAGAATAAGGATCATACTGTGAGGGCTAATAAAATTTGTACAAGTCTTTTGGGGTGAAATTATGGAAGAACTAAAGGAATGGCTGAGAAGAATTCTCCAATTTCTTCTTCCTACATCACTACTCACGCTGTATTGAGAATGAATTCAAGTATTAGTAACTTATTAAGATTTAACATCTCTTCCTTTAAACGATGAAGGATCATGGTCATCAGAATCCCGATCCGGATCTTACGATCCAACGATCTTACGATTCATTTGAGTACAATCGATCCAGATCGTGTAAAAAACTCCTTATAGGTAGAATCTTTCGATCCTGGTAATGGGATCTTATAGGATCGTAGAATCTCGATCTGAATCCGATCCTATCCGATCCAATTTATAAGCCTTGTTTTGTATTGTATGACATATTTTATTGTAAATTTTATGTTTGTTGTCTAAATACCAATTTATGTGGTCAAAATAAATAATAAAAATTAAGTAGTATTGAATCAAATAGACTAAAAAAAACAAACTAGGAAACAAACATTCAAATATTGTGGTAATTTAAGAAAATTAAATAGTCGGAAAAACAAACTTAGCTTTTGCGGAGTCTAAGGAGGGTAAAATGATTGCAACTTTATCCCAATTTTTGGAGAGATTATTTTTGTGACTCGAATCCGCTCCACCAAGGATGCTAACGACAAATCTTATCATTTGACTAAGCTACTCTTTTGAGTTCTTAATCTATTTTTTTATCCAACTTTGTTAAATATTTTTTCTTTACTTTTTATGCATTATTGTAGATTGTAAAGTATTTTGTTATAGAATTATTCTTCTTCTGCACCTTCTTTTTTTGATGAAATACAAAACTTTTACCATCAAGTTTTCTATTGTATAATATTATATGTACATTTTACATAGAGTATTGTATTTTTCACAATATCTTCACTTCTTTTTAATAGAATATAGGCTCATTTTGTGTATACATTATAAGAAATATTTATTTAAATTAAATTATTATGTAATTTGTTTTTTTCGGTAGGATCTTACGATTCTCGATCCGATTCTACGATCCGATCCTATAAACACCTCTAACGATCTAACGTAGGATCCCGATTTTAACAACCTTGTGAAGGATTGGGACTTAGGAAACAGAGGTTTTTGAACAAAGCTTTTTAGAAAAATGGCTAGGGAGATGTTGAGGAAGATAAGGGTGGTGTAGAATAAGGATCATACTGTGAGGGCTAATAAAATTTGTACAAGTCTTTTGGGATGAAATTATGGAAGAACTAAAGGAATGGCTGAGAAGAATTCTCCAAACATATTTACTTTCCAGTAGGAAATTTGCAAAGATGGGATTTCATGATGACTATTGTATGGTAGAAAGCTCCACAGACTAAGAGTTCCAAATCTCTTCAAAATCACATCATATATGGAAGCCATGGTACTTGGCAATGTTAGTGGAGTAGATGGTACAGTGGTTTGGCCCACTTGTATGGGGCCTTGCAAGATTGAGACGTTGACATGGTGGAAACATCGCCATGCTTTATGTCAAATTTAATGTATGGAAAAATAGAGAGAATGAAATATGTATTGATGATTGATATTATTGATTGATCTGTCTATTACAAATGGTTCCTTATATAGATGTAGGTGTAGTGGATGGTGTGTAGTGGATGGTGATAGTGGTGTAGTGGGTTAGGTTTAGTGGAGTAGGTGAGGTGGTAGTGGTGTAGTGGGTTAGGTTTAGTGGAGTAGGTGAGGTGGTAGTGGTGATGGTAAATTCTAACACTTTATCCTACTCTAGTAGATACCAAAGGGGTAGAAGGCTTCCTTTGTGGCAGGAAGTCACAAAGCATAAAAATTTTTAGGTTCAATTCTAGTAACTATATTCATAGCCAATAATCGACCAAGGCCTTCCTAAAGTGTCCTCTTTTTCCCTTGATAGATATCAAAACATTGGAAAGAATTATGAACTTGATAATTTGGTGAAATGGGATAGTGTTCAAAGAAAATCCAGAAAAAGTTAATAACCTATTGGCTGCGACGTCGGAGCTGCTGTATGAGACCGGGGCTGGGCCGACGACCGGCGACCTCTCTTCTCTCTCTCTCTCTTTCTCTTTCTCTCACTCTCCCTCTCTGGTTCAGACTGAAAATGGAAGAAGAAGAAGAAGAAAAGGGGCATTCGGGGGAAGAAAATTCGAGGCACAAATCATTAATCTTCTTTTTCCTTTCCAATTTAACAACAAATTTTAACTTGAGTTTCGAATTTTTTGAAATTTAGATGATGAGGAATTAGGTCTCGTTTGGAAACTACATATTGAAGCTTGGGTAACCAGCTTAGGGTATGATGAGATATCACCCCTTATTTATAAATGAAGATTTAGGGTTTACAAAGAAGACAATTACAAGATAATCCCTGAGTGCGTAAAAATGATTACAGATCTTAGAGTCTTTCGGCTAATATAATATGCTAAGTGCCTTTCGGTGATTATAATATGTCAACACTCCCCCTCAAGCTGGTGCGAAGATATCTTTCATGCCCAGCTTGCCTAATATGTCATGAAACGGTTTATTCCCAATTCCCTTGGTGAGAATGTCAGCAAGTTGTTCACCAGACTGAACAAAAGGAGTACAAATGGTACCACTAGTGAGTTTCTCCTTAATGAAGTGGCGATCAATCTCAACATGTTTTGTCCTGTCATGTTGAACGGGATTGTGAGCAATGTTGATGGCGGCCTTATTATCACAGTATAACCGCATGGAGTCCGTCTGAGTAATACCTAGATCACTCAACAATAATTTGATCCATAAAAGTTCACACACACCTTGTGCCATAGCTCTAAACTCAGCTTCTGCACTTGACCTGGCAACCACATTCTGTTTCTTACTCCTCCTAGTAACTAGGTTGCCGCCGACAAATGTGCAATACCCTGAAGTTGATCTCCTATCAGTTACGGACCCAGCCCAGTCAGCATCTGTATAGGCTTCTACACGAAGATGATCATAATGCGACAACTTATTTAATCATACAAATTTAATTTCTTTTATTACGTTGCACCAAACAGATTTATAATTTATTTTAAATCTTTAAACTAACAATTTAAAAACTATAATCATAAAAATTAATTTATAAGTAATACAAAATCAACCCATAATTATGGGATCATAAAAATATTTATGTGCATTAAATTCAAGTATGGAATGAATTGGAGACTTTCAGTTAAAGTTTTTAAAGTCAAATGACAATAAATTGTAATCTACAAAAAACAAATATGACATTAAATTCCAATAACAAAATTTACTCAACCTTTAACTAGATTCACAAAATAGATCAATAAATAAAAACCACTTTTAATATTTGTAAATTATATGCCAATAATACCCTTCAATTAATATAAAATTATCTCACCTTGCCCGTCTGTTTTGAAACCACACTTCTACTTGTCTTGGCAGCAGTTTCAGCTGCTTAGCCAAAGCCACCTTTTGCTTCTGAAAAACACAAAAAACAAAAAATCACATTGTGCCTGTTTGGCAGAAATTATTTACAACTTATTTCAGTTTTCAGCTTAATTTAAGCTATTTTGATGTGTTTGGTTTAGCTTATAGCTTATACCTTTGTGAAAGTCAGAAATCATCTTATTCTTTGAGTGGAGCAGGAGATGTTTTAAGAATAAGCTGAAAATTAGCTTAAGCTGAAAGTAATAAGCTATAAGCACTTTCCCACCGCTCTACCAAACAGGGCTATTAAGGTGTTTGATGTGGAAAATTGTTAGGTACGTTTTTATACTCCTTGACTGATCATCATTTATCATGTTATTTATATTTCTCAATCTAATACAAAAGCATAATATTTTATATTTTTGATTAATCATAATATTATGAAGTATCATATATGATCCTATACCCAAAATACTCAATAATCACCCATTTGGTACGAATGAAATAAGCTCCTTATAATTTAGTTTAGAAATTTCTGTCAAATTGTTCACTATCGTCTATGTTTGTAACTTATTAGACAAAAATAAAGAAGAAAGGATGCTTTTGAATTTTATTTTATAATTATTGACTTTTAATTTATAATAAGCTATACCACATATAGTTAAAAAAAACACCAGACTCAACCCAAAAAGCCCTGAATTCAACCCAAAAATTACGAGAATGCCACTTACAGGATTGAGAGTGTTGTGCTCCTTGAAGGTTTCTTCCAGCACCGCCGCCTGCTCCTTCGATAGCCTCAGCTTCTTCCTCGCCATCTCCCCGCCGTCGTCCTCCTCGCTTCCTCCGCCACCGTGAGAAGTTCCCCATCCCCTCTCTCCTCCGCCGCAGCCGCCGTCGTTTTCCTCTCTCTCGCTCCTCTTAACGCTCACGCTCGACACCGTGCTGTTCGGCGACGACACACCCACCTCCTCCTCACACTCTACAGCCGTAGAGGCGGCCGGAGGTTCACATCGATTCCCCGGAAGTAAGATCTCGTCTCTGCGTTCCAAACCCACATCGCATTTAATCCAAATATAATTATAAAAAAAAAAAACATATGGCTAATCTCACTATAAACCCTTATCACAAATTTTTTTTTTTTTTTTTTAAACTTCATCCATAAATTATCTATTTACTCCCTAAAATTCTTTTCATTGCTGTTCTTTCGTGTGATTTAATCAGAGACAATTTTACAAATCAGTAATTATTTAAGTCTAATTTGATTGGTAAAATAATAATTTTATAATTTGAACAATTTAAATCATATATGAGTATAGTTTATTCAAAATAATAGTAAAAACATTAGTGTATTTTATTTTATTTTTTGCAATAAAATTAAATTTTAACTGTTATTGATTTATATAATAATAAAGGAGTCCGTACAAAATGAGACAAACATATTTTACAATGAATGAGTAGATCTCATTGTGTTTGGTCTCGCTGTTTTATATTACATTTACATGAACGAAATTAAAAACTTCATACACAAAATTGATAGTTTAAAAATAAAAATTAATTTAGGAGATAAAATTGAAATCAATCCTAAAAAATAAAAAATAAAAAAATATAACAATTCATATCAAGAAAACAAAAACAAGATCATGAATCCATAGATATAGATATATCCAGCGAGAAGGATGTACCAGAAGAGGACTGAAATGAATCAAGGAGAGAGGAGGGCTTGTGGTGGCTGTGGTTGTGGTGGTGTTGAAACAAGGAGTGTAGAGTCAAAGGGAAAGGTGGAAGAAGATTCTCTGGGCATTTCAAGCTCAAGCTCAAGCTCAGCTCTAACCCATTCATCAACTTTCTCACCCATCTTCACTCTCTCTCTAAAAAACACACCCTTTGATTCCTCTGGGTATGGAATGGAATCTGAGTGAATGAAAAATGGGTACAACAAAAGAAGGGAGAGAAATGGGTAAGGGGGGTTACAGCTTTTCTTTGGACATGTTGCAGTGCAGAGTCTGATAGAATAGTGCTTACATATATAAGCCCCGCTTGGGATGTCATCTCAGTTAAAATAGTTATATAGAATAAAATAGATAATTTTAAATAAATAAGATAAAATATTATATTATATTTATAATTATAATTATTTTTTTATAAAAATTAAAAATTTATTTCAAATAAGATTTTTTAATTTTAAATTAAAAAATTAAAAAATCAATTAACATTTCAAATAAATTCATGATTATATATGTGTCGGGCAAAGGACGAGGAAGCGGGACTGAGAGCAGTAGAAGATCTGCGGTCCAACAATTGGCGCAAAGCATCCTCCAGCTCAGTATCAGAAACGTGGGTAGCAGAAGTGGAATTAGAATCAAGGGTATCAACGGTACTAGACTGATGAGCCCGGGAATAGGAACCACGTCCTCGAGAGTGGCCTGACCGACCTCCTCGAGAACCCGACCGATCACTTCAACCCCCAGATGGAGTCCCATGAAGTTTCCAACATGTCTCACGAGTATGCCGCGGCTTTTTGCAATAATCACAGAATACAGACTCCTTAGCAGCAGACGGAGGAGGCAGGCTGAGGCTATCTCGAGGAGTAGACAGTAATGCGGAACGGTCAGTAGAGACAGGGGACATCATAGCAGACCGACGACTCTCCTCATTTTGGACATAGGCAAATGCCTCTTGCAGTGAAGGAAGAGTGTCCATACTCAGAACTCGACCCCTAACTGGATCATACTCCATATTTAGGCCAGCCAAAAATTTAAAGACCCGTTCCCGTGCGATAAACTTCTTATACCCGATAGAATCAGTGGGGCAAACGGGCTTATAGTCTTCCAGGTGGTCAAGGCGTTTCCAGCCGTTGGTGAGGAAAGTGAAGTACTGAAGAACAGTCTGCTCCCCCTGAAGTGTGCTCTCAATAGAGCGACGCAACTCAAATGCCTGTGAAAAATTTCCTTTGCGGGAATAGGTAACAGCCACAGCCTCCCAAATGTCCTGGGCAGTCTCCATAGACAAGTAGCCCTCACCAAGTTCTGGAACCATCGAATGGATAAGCCAACTCATAATCAAAGAGTTTGACACCGGAGAGGACAAGAAATAGGACTGGGACTCAAAGAAAGTGACATCCATGGACACAAACCACTTACGAGAAGAAGGGTGGTAACATTTATACCCCTTTTGAGTAGGAGAATAACCAAGGAAAACACACTTGAGGGAGCGAGGGTCCAACTTACCACGAGAGGGAGAGTGATTATGGACAAAACAGACACAACCAAATATTTTGGGAGGAATAGAAAACAAGGACTGAGAACCGAGGAGGACGTGAAGCGGAGCCTGTTTGTCCAAGACCTGGGTAGGGAGACGATTAATAAGATAGGCAGCGGTGAGAACAGCGTCGCCCCAATAGGGCCGAGGCACATTCATAAAAAAACACATGCACCGAGCCATGTCAAGAAGATGCCGCAGAGAAGAGTGACGAGTGAGAGAGAGTATACATGTATTTATATATTTATATATAAATATATATATCAGGCTATAGTTATATATATATATCAGGATATATATATATATATATATATTATATGTACCTAGATCAGAGGACGACGAGGACGAGGGTGAGGACGACAAGGACGAGGGCTGAGACGAGCGACGAACTGCGGGAGAAGATCGACGAGCGACGAACTGCGATGAAGATCGACGAACTGCGATTGATGAAGACGAGCGACGAACTGCGGGATGAACTGCGATTGATGAAGACGAGTGACGAACTGCGGGATGATGATGATGGCAGAGACGAAGACGAAGCGGAATGATGATGATGGCAGAAGATCGATTCAGCAGATGATCCAACTAGGTATGCTTTGAACCCTAGCCCTGGAGGTGATGCTCTGATACCATGAAGCTTGGGTAACCAGCTTAGGGTATGATGAGATATCACCCCTTATTTATAAATGAAGATTTAGGGTTTACAAAGAAGACAATTACAAGATAATCCCTGAGTGCGTAAAAATGATTACAGATCTTAGAGTCTTTCGGCTAATATAATATGCTAAGTGCCTTTCGGTGATTATAATATGTCAACACATATTTTAGTCAAAAAGTTACTATAAATTATCACATTACTCTCTCTACTTTTTTGTACATTTTTTCATAAAAAATAAAAAAAATTAGTAAAATAGCTTGTTCTCAAACAAAGCCTTAAAGTACACAAACCTTTCCCAATTCATTTTTTTTTTAATTATTTAAAATTAGAATACTTTTAAAATGTACAAATCTATTTAACATGTTTCTTATTTTCTCATAAAGAATTTTAGAGAACTAAAAAATTACTACGGTAAAAAAAATTACAAAAGTGTGGATGTAAAAATCAATATGTGATTCCCACCACATTTATAATTAATCTAAATCACACATTGATTTTTCTATACCACTTATCATGCACATAGCATTATTGTTATTATTATTACTATTACTATTATTTATTTTTATTTTTTCCCTATGTTTTCAAGCATATATAGCTTTACTCATTTTCTAGACATATATGATTAATGGACTGTTATACCAAGATATTAGATCACTTACGTTAATAATAATTTGTAACTTTTTAAATTTATTTAAAACTCTAAAATACATATCGACAATAGAGCCTCATATTTATAATTTTTGAGGATATCTTAAATATTTAGACAATAAAAAAAGTTATGCGACAACTTATTTAATCATACAAATTTAATTTCTTTTATTACGTTGCACCAAACAGATTTATAATTTATTTTAAATCTTTAAACTAACAATTTAAAAACTATAATCATAAAAATTAATTTATAAGTAATACAAAATCAACCCATAATTATGGGATCATAAAAATATTTATGTGCATTAAATTCAAGTATGGAATGAATTGGAGACTTTCAGTTAAAGTTTTTAAAGTCAAATGACATTAAATTCCAATTACAAAATTTACTCCACCTTTAACTAGATTCACAAAATAGATCAATAAATAAAAACCACTTTTTAATATTTGTAAATTATATGCCAATAATACCCTTCAATTAATATAAAATTATCTCACCTTGCCCTTCTGTTTTGAAACCACACTTCTACTTGTCTCGGCAGCAGTTTCAGCTGCTTAGCCAAAGCCACCTTTTGCTTCTGAAAAACACAAAAAACAAAAAATCACATTAAGGTGTTTGGTGCGGAAAATTATTAGGTATGTTTCTAAGGGAAATTATTTAATGTTTCTGGAGTATCATATGTATATACTCCTTAATCAATCACCATTCAATATGTTCTTTCATGTTTTTAATCACTAATACAATACTTCACCTACTTATCTTTTTCACCAATCACAATGTTATAAAATATCACGTGTTTATATTTCGGAATTACTATACTCTTTCACTGATTATCATTTGTCACGTCATGTGATCGTATATCCGAAATACTCAATAATCACCCGTTTGGTCACCCATTTGGTGCAGATTAAAATATGCTCCTTATAACTTAATTTAGTTTAGAAATTTCTCTCAAATTGTTCACTACCGTTTATGTTCATAAGACAAAAATAAGGAAGAAGGGATGCTTTTGAATTTTGTTTCATGATTACCCACTTTAATTTACACCAAACAGTCCAAAAACAGCAGACTCAACCCAAAAAGCCCTGAATTCAACCCAAAAATTACGAGAATGCCACTTACAGGATTGAGAGTGTTGTGCTCCTTGAAGGTTTCTTCCAGCACCGCCGCCTGCTCCTTCGATAGCCTCAGCTTCTTCCTCGCCATCTCCCCGCCGTCGTCCTCCTCGCTTCCTCCGCCACCGTGAGAAGCTCCCCATCCCCTCTCTCCTCCGCCGCAGCCGCCGTCGTTTTCCTCTCTCTCGCTCCTCTTACCGCTCACGCTCGACACCGTGCTGTTCGGCGACGACACACCCACCTCCTCCTCACACTCTGCCGCCGTAGACGGCGGCCGGAGGTTCACATCGATTCCCCGGAAGTAAGATCTCGTGTCTGCGTTCCAAACCCACATCGCATTTAATCCAAATATAATTATATAAAAAAAAAAAAACCATATGGCTAATCTCAACTTCATCCATAAATTATCTATTTACTCCCTAAAATTCTTTTCATTGCTGTTCTTTCGTGTGATTTAATCAGAGACAATTTTACAAATCAGTAATTATTTAAGTCTAATTTGATTGGTAAAATAATAATTTTATAATTTAAACAATTTAAATCATATATGAGTATAGTTTATTCAAAATAATAGTAAAAACATTAGTGTATTTTATTTTATTTTTTTTGCAATAAAATTAAATTTTAACTGTTATTGATTTATATAATAATAAAGGAGTCCGTACAAAATGAGACAAACATATTTTACAATGAATGAGTAGATCTCATTCTGTGTTTGGTCTCGCTGTTTTATATTACATTTGCATGAACGAAATTAAAAACTTCATACACAAAATTGATAGTTTAAAAATAAAAATTAATTTAGGGGATAAAATTGAAATCAATCCTAAAAAATAAAAAATAAAAAAAAATATAACAATTCATATCAAGAAAACAAAAACAAGATCATGAATCCATAGATATAGATATATCCAGAGAGAAGGATGTACCAGAAGAGGAATGAAATGAATCAAGGAGAGAGGAGGGCTTGTGGTGGCTGTGGTTGTGGTGGTGTTGAAACAAGGAGTGTAGAGTCAAAGGGAAAGGTGGAGGAAGATTCTCTGGGCATTTCAAGCTCAAGCTCAGCTCAGCTCTATCCCATCATCAACTTTCTCACCCATCTTCACTCTCTCTCTAAAAAACACACCCTTTGATTCCTCTGGGTATGGAATGGAATCTGAGTGAGTGAAAAATGGGTACAACAAAAGAAGGGAGAGAAATGGGTAAGGGGGGTTACAGCTTTTCTTTGGACATGTTGCAGTGCAGAGTCTGATAGAATAGTGCTTATATATATAAGCCCCGCTTGGGATGTCATCTCAGTTAAAATAGTTATATAGAATAAAATAGATAATTTTAAGTAAATAAGATAAAATATTATATTATATTTATAATTATAATTATTTTTTTATAAAAATTAAAAATTTATTTCAAATAAGATTTTTTAATTTTAAATTAAAAAATTAAAAAATCAATTAACATTTCAAATAAATTCATGATTATATATGTGTATATAGTGAGAGAGAAAAAAAAAACTAGAGAGAGAAAGGGGACTGTGTGGGGAGAGGTGCATGTTCAATCATGCTTGTGTCAGAGTGCCCTATTGGCTCAATCATGATGATGGTATTGGCTTTTGCTTTTTTGCTTAGCTTTGCATGGGCATTGCTTTACCCTGGTTTGAGTCTTAACCATGGTCAATTACTTTTTTCTTTTTTCTTTTTCTTTTTTTTTTAAATTTTTGGTGAGAACTGAGATATATATTACGGATATCTTTTTGCCATTTTATATCTTGAGTAATGAATATTTACATAAATTATGATATAAAATGGCGTCAAAAAATTAATACATTTTTTAAAAACTTTTTTTTAGTGAAAAAATTGAGTATTTAGACTTTTTTAAGTGATAACAAATAAACTTTTCAACTTGTTTAGTAAATAAATCCAAAAACCCAAAAAACAACCATCATCCTCATCAAGCACTAAAATTTTAAAAAATTAAGCTGTGTTTGGTTATGTTCTCAAATCATGATTCAGCAGCATCACTCAAGTATGATGTTTGGTAGGTGTTTTGTAATCACCTTTCGAAAACTCTGCGAAGTGCTCTGTCTTAGTCGTTGTTTTTAGAATTTTTTTTTTTTTGAAAATTTTGCTTGACGGGTCGTCCGGCCGGTCGACCGGCCGATTGATCGGAATAGTGATTTTTTTTTTTACAATTTGTATGTTAATTTTTATATAATCGAAAAAAAATATTTTCTGAATTTTTTATGTGCTTTAAAATAATTTTGAGTTGTATGTTTAGTTATGAGTTGTAAATTTTTGTATCAAATATCAAATGTCACATTAACAATTCCCCACTCAAATCAAAACTCTTTTCAAAACTCTTTACTAAACAAATTTTCTACACTCAAATCATAATTTCAAACCCCACAAACTCAAAATACAACTCATACTCTCAAATTATAATTACAAAACACAACCAAATGGAACCTTAATGTTTCAGTTTATTTGGCTAAAAATATTTATAAAATTATGGAAGTGTAAACTCCTTATTGTGTAAAAAAAAACATAGAAAGATTGCACTACTAAAAATCTCAACGTTTGATAATTTTTCAATAATTTCTTCTAAAATTTATTTACATGACATGAAATTTAAAAACTTAAAAATAAAATTTGATAATATTAACAAAAAAAAAATTGGGCACAAAGCATCTAGCCAACTTTTAACTGTGAGTAAACTTTTTAACAGTGGTTAGTGACTTCATTGTAACAGAGTTAAACTCCTAACCATGGTTAGTGACTTTAGATTTTGTAACCGAGTGGTATCAATTTGAAAAATACTTGGAAGCACTAATTAGTGCTTCCACTAATTAAGTGACAGTGGGTCTCGTCATTAATAATGTGATGTTTTAGTTTTAAAATTGTATTTTTATTTTTATTTTTTTACTTTTTTAATGTATTAGTGCTATTAGTGGTGGTATTTTTAGTGGGATGAATCATTGTTGTATCAATTTTTTCAACCCTGGGCTTCGAAGTCACGTCTCATAAAAAGGACGCTTTTCAGCTCGTTGACCATTGACCAAGCCCTCATTGTGTGTGTGGGTGAGAGAGAGAGAGAGATTTCCTCTTACTAAACCCACGCGCTTCTTCTCACGCGCCGAACATTCACGAACTCGGCTTTGGAAACAAACGATGGAGGAGCGCGTGACGCACGTGAGGCTGACACTGAAACTCAAAAAATTAATTAATTAATTAAAGCTTATTTTGGGAAGATTGAAAAAAGACAAAAAGTCAAAAAGTTACTATCCTATTTAAGTCACATCATCTTATTTAAGTCACATCACCTCTCTAACACATCACTTCAAATCCAACCCATATTTCATAAAAAGTCAAAAAGTACACTTATTTAGTCTTCCCAAACTAGGCCTAAGAGTAAACTACCCTTTAAAAAAAAATTTGTTTTTTACACCCTTAAAATTTGTTTTTCTTACTCTGATTTTTCATATTTTTAATTTTTTTCAATTTACTCTTACATCTAATTTATGTTCAAAATTAGATTAAAAATTGACGGACTTGGAGTAGGTGTTATGCCTTATAATATAATACATGTGTTGTGAGACTCGTTGGGAGTGTTCCGAGCCTATTCTCATTATTCGAATTATTCATATTATAAGATTTGTCAAATAATTCATACATAAAATTAAAAAAAAAAATCAATTGGACATTTATAATCTTATAATAATATCACATTTGTTTTAAATAAAAAAATAAACGGTTGGTATAATTTTGATAATTTTTTTAAAAAAAATAATTAAGGCTGATCACGAGATTACGTACGTTCGATTAACCTGAATTTTTTAATGAATAATACAGTTAACAAGTTCTACAATACAAACGATTCAGATTATTAAAAAATACTTAAGATATACTTCCACGGGGCTTCACAGTATGGATGTTGTGCCTCAGCACCAACACCAACTCTAAAAATGGCACATTGACAGCCATGTGCATAAAAAAAATTATTATATATAACTCATACATTTGACATAAATCTAAAATAGAGTAATATTTTTTTTTATGATATATGACAATTACCGTGACATTTTTTGTCTAATTTTAACTAGAAATTAACTTTAGAAAGTAATTTCTTTTAAAAAATGAAACATGAGAGATCAAAGTGAGAAAAATAAATTTTAAGGATCAAAATGATAAAATGACCAAATATAAATAGGTAAAGTGTGATTTACCTATAAATTAATTAAATAAATTTTGAGGTTTAATCAAGAAGTTAATTGGGTGTGATTTAAAGAAGAGGTTACATATAATCTTAATTCGGTTTTAAGGAAACCGTGTGGGTTTGTAAATTTTAATGCACATTTATGGCTCCCTAAATGCCCTTGGGTTTAGGTAGAGAGTTCATAGGAGTTACTAATTAATTGGCTAGTCAAAATAAGAGTTATGCTAGGGGTTCCAAATAAATTATTAAATTTTTTTATCAAATCTCTTACATGGGTGTGAGATCCATACACATTAATTTGTGTGGATCCCACATGAGAGGTTTGGTAAAAAATTTGATAATTTATTTAGAGTCCATAGCATTTTCTGTCAAAATAATCTTCCAATGTTAATTATGGCTCATGAGTGTAGAGAATGTTTTACATAAATAGCAATAATGAGAGTAGACTGATTGAGATTTGAAAAAATGAGGACACATCTTCACAATGTTTAAAAAGATTGATCCGGCTTGTCCACAGTTCAAGTTCAAAATCTGCGCCACAAAAGTTGTTTTTGCTGTGCTCCTTTTTTTTTACTATTTAAATCACCCATTCTTGTAAGGTTTAGCGTGTGTATTATTTATGAAAAAAATTTAAATCAATCTAATAATTATAACCTCTACTTTTTATCAAGTGTAGTTTCGAAAAACTAAGTAGTCTATTTTTGAAAACACATTTATTATTTATTTTTTAGAGACAAATGTAATAAAATAAAAAGGTTGCAGTTATGGTATCAATCTATTTTTTTTTTATAGGTGATATACATGTATGGTCCTATAAAATGAACATTTTGAATCATCAAATCGAGACTCGTGGCCCCATAGACCTGGACAACACCTCCAATTCAGATTTTAAATTGGATACAAATGTTCTTCACGTATTTTTAGGTAGAATATATAATATTTCTAATATATATTCTAAGGAAAATCATTATTCAATAGTTTCAAAGCATGGTGACATAAAATTTTTGGATCGGTTAGAGTAGCGGTCATGGATTAATTAGAACCTATTTGACGTAATTTGATTGGATAGATGGAATATAATGTATATTTCGTTAATCTCTTTTTGCATGATTTCATTTGTAGAAAGTATCACATACATATCTCATAGTGATTTCTTAAAACTCTTAAATAATTTATCAAAAAACAATATATGTAAGTCAAATTCAAACTCAAAACAACTAACGTGTTGAATTTGAATTGGGTAATAGTACAGTGGATTCTTATCAAACTGGACATATCTAAGTGAATTTCAACTTGGATTTCGACTTAAAAATCATTAGTTCAATTTTATTAGCACTCATCTCTTTATGCTTTGGCAACAATTTGAAAAAAATTTGGTTGTTCGTTATTTTTATACTCTCATATCTTAAAAATAAAAATAAAAAATTTGAAATTCGAAGTAGAGTAAAAGTATAAAAATAACATCAAAATTCAATGTGTAGAACATGTAAATAGCGTTAACAGAATAATTTGATAAATAAGAGTTTACTAAAATGAAATATGAAAAATAGTCAATCTCAAAGCCAAGCCCACGGGCTATGTCAAGCCGAACCAAAGCCCAACCAATGGCTTGGAGGGCTTGGCTTTTGCCAGACCTTCAAGTTTCAAAAAAAGAAAAAAAAGAAAATGGCATCGGCAGGCTTTAGAGCCCTACTTAAGAGCATTCGAGTCTAGGTTGACCCAAGCCCGATCCCTTGGGTGTTGGGCTAAATGTGATGGTGGAGTGCGTCCTAATTAGAAATTAGATTTGAGATTATCAAAATTTATACAATAATTCTAACGAGTGACCAAAAAAAAAAAATTATGCAATAATTCTAGGTAATCAAAAAGTAACTTACAATTTTACTCAAAAATAATTTTGGATTCAAATTCAAATTATGGAGCCACTACATAAAAATTGAATTTGAATCACACATTATAGTAAAATTCTCAATATTTAGAAGCATTAAAACTTATATTCAGAGACACATTCAATCTATTAATGAGTTTTAACTAAA